TAAGAGTGAGAGATGAGGACTTGGCCTCTCCTGCAAAGCTGCTGCAGAGCTCTGAGCCTGTGCAAGAAATGTGACCCCTGTCACAGGCTGTGAACAGGCCAGTGCTTCTCTGACAGCGGCAGACCTGGGTCTGCGCTGTGCCCATGGCCCCGGGAGTTTCCATCGCTCGCCTGCCCACGCGCTGTGCGCTGACCTGCAGCCCGGCTGCCTGACCAGGCTGTCTCCCTTCTGCTTCCACAGAGCTGCACACGCTGTGGCAGAATGAGGAGCGGGCTGCCATGTCCTCCGGCAAGATCTATGACATCTGGCATCGCCGACACGACTACTGGCTGTTGGCAGGAATTGTCACGTACCCTTTGACTCGGTGGGAGCGGGAGGCAGCGAGGCGAGAGAGGCCTCTGCAGGGTGCGGGAACTGGGCTGGTGGTCACAAGCAGGGAGGGGATTTGGGGCCACTGTGGGGTGGTGGGCAGGCTGTTGGCTGGCTGATTGTGCCCTTGACACTACCGCTGCACCAGTCATGGCTATGCCCGCTGGCAGGACATCCAGAACGACCCGCGCTATGTGATCCTGAACGAGCCATTCAAGTCGGAGATACACAAGGGGAACTACCTAGAGATGAAGAACAAGTTCCTTGCCCGGCGGTTCAAGGTGAGTGGCAGGTCCAGGGCTGGTGAGTCCCTGCCAGTGGGGGAACCAGAGCAGTGCCCCAAAGCCAGGGGAGAGTTTGCCAGAGCCTTCTGAGAGCAGAGTTGGGAGTGGGCTTTGTGAGGGGCTCTGAGGTATACTGGTTTACACTGGAGTGGGGTCTGATCATGAATCATTCCCCTCCTGCCCCTCCCAGTTGCTGGAGCAGGCCCTGGTGATCGAGGAGCAGCTGCGGAGGGCGGCGTACCTCAACATGACCCAAGACCCCAGTCACCCGGCCATGGCACTGAACGCGCGGCTAGCAGAGGTGGAGTGCCTTGCCGAGAGCCACCAGCACCTCTCCAAAGAGTCCCTGGCTGGCAACAAACCTGCCAACGCCGTCCTGCACAAGGGTGCGTGTCCACAGAGCTGGGGGGAGCCTGCCCCCGGGCTAGGAAGGGTTCCCCACCCTGACCCTGGGAACCCAACCAAGAGGTTGTCCCCACGTTGCATTCCCTTGGCCTGGAGCTGCCTGCTCCTCCCAGCTCACTGGGTCCAATGGGCATCCCCCCCTGAGCACCACCTGCTCTGCTCACAGTGCTGAACCAGCTCGAGGAGCTGCTGAGTGACATGAAGGCCGATGTGACCCGCCTGCCCTCCATGCTGTCCCGCATCCCGCCCGTGGCTGCCCGGCTGCAGATGTCAGAGCGGAGCATCCTCAGCCGCCTGGCCACCCGCGGAGGGGACCCGACTGTCCAGGTCAGTGGGGACAGGCCCAGAGCCCCGCACTGTGGGGGTCACAGTAAGGCCAGGGCTGCAGGCCCATGTTTTTTCTCCCTCCTTGCCTCCCCAGGGCTCCTTTGGCTCTTCCCAGATGTACAACAATAACTTTGGGCCAAATTTCCGTGGTCCTGGGCCAGGTGGGATTGTCAACTACAGCCAGATGCCTCTGGGACCCTACGTGACTGGTAGGTTGGGGTTTTGCTCTTGGGCAGAGAAATTTAGGGGGCAGATTTGGGTGGTCCAGAAGCATTGCCAAAGGACAGCAGTGAGCAAAGTGTTTCCTCTCTTGCCACAGATATTTAACCGTTCCCATGATTTTCCCCTGCAACTCCCATTCCTAGCTGAGGTAAGGCTGCACTCATGGCTCTCTGTGCTCCATTTGCTGGGGAACACAGTGAGGCAGGGGGCTGTGTGGGGGTTCTGTTTTGGGCTGCCTCCCCAGTGCCGGTGTCTGGCTGCTGCCTCTGGCTCAAGCAGCTGCAGTGGAAGTGGGAGCAGATCCTTCCTGGTGACCTCGCCAGGTACCTGAGGTTGGCAGGCAGGGAAGGTCCAGAGCTGGCTGATGGGCAGCCCTCCCTTCTCCTCACAGCAGCCCCAGGGGACAGGCCTCAGCCCCTGGCCGTGAGCCGCGGTTGCCAGAGGACAGTGGGGGAGTCGTGCCGGCATTGCCTGCGTGGAAGATGAGCTGCCACCGGTGCTGCTGGGCTGTCCCGCTCCTGCTTCAAGTGTGCTTCACCTGCTGCGGCCTCCGCGGGAGCGGCAGGGCCGGGAGTTCGTGTCCGTGTACATTTTTTGCACTTTCTTCTTGAAGACTTGAAGAGTTTGTCTGGGCGAGGTGGGCTGAGGGGAGGGAGGAATGGAGTCGCGGTGTTTGTCCGGTTGTGTTGGCACATGTGGGGTGAGGGAGGCCAGTGGTGCCCGGTGTCCTGGCGGGCTATGCCAGGCTGCCTGAGGTGGCTTGCACTCCCCAGCTTCCCTGCGAGGGCCATTTCTGCATCCTCGCTGCTTTTGAGGGAGCCCACACCGTCTGCTGCCCCCGTGGGAGCCCTGGCACTGCAGTGGTACGGCTGGGGACCCGTGTGTGCTGGGCACGGGGCAGACGGGTGGGATGGAAGGGATGGCTGGAGCTGGGGCGGGGACACCTCGAGCGTGGTGACACCATCAGCTGTAAGCAACGCCCCCGCATCTGCTTTGTGCTCCGTGTGTCCTGGTTTCTGTTCTCTGTGTTTTAATAAATCCTTTGGGAAAGACGCAGTGGAGTCTGGCAGGGGGGTGGCTGGGGCAGCCCTGGGAGGGTCTGGCTGCAGTGGCAGTCCCTGTGTCATCCTGCACACATGTGTACACACCCCCCAGGCACACGTACACAAAACACACACGTGTGCACACCCACACACATGTACACACACGTGTACTCACCCACACACGTGCAGCCAGTCATGTACACCCACACATGTACCCAAAGCCACAGGGTCCCTCAGTGGCAGAAGCTGCGCTGTCCCCAGCCCCAGCTCTCCCACACAGCCTGTGCACACGGACACACATGGAACACAGACGGACATCCATGAAGAGGTGTGTGTGTATCTACATAAATACCATAATTTTTATGTGAGTGCACATAAACTTACGTACATACATCTGCATCCCCCCCACCTATATGATTGTATCTCTTCATATATAGCATGTGTAGATCTGTGTACACACACGTGTAGATATACACAGGACTGTAATTTTTCAGATATTTTGTGCATATATATCTTTATGTGAGTGTACACAGATGATTTGTTTAGGTGCAGCTATGTCTGTGTGGGTGTGTCTATATATAATATAGATATGTGTATATATAATATACATGTATATTATACATGTATAAATAATGCATTTGTAGTTTTAATACGTGTGTTTGTGTACATATATAACTAAATATATGGTTGTGTGTATACATAGGCAGGGGTGTATAGATGTGTATTTACAGGGGTGTATATACACATCCATGTATCTGTACATACATAAATGTGTGTTTGTAATTTGTATGTGTATATATACACACATGCATATGTAGATATATCTCTATATCTCCATATCTCTGTATGGATATACAGCTGTGTGTATATATACACAGACACACACGTGTATTTGTAATTTTTATATATTTATACATAGAGGTAGATATAGACACAGCTAGGGATATATAGATTATACTAGATAGAGATAGCACACTCGTGTATACAGAGATACACATTTGTATCTACACAGATACACATTTGTATTTGTGATTTCATATAAATATATATGAGTGTTTCTTTGCACACCACCATCAGTGCAGTTCTGTAGACAGATGTATAAATAAAGGTGTGTGGGTACAGCTGCAGGTAAATCCACGTACCTAAAGGTGTAAGGGTGTGTATGGGGCAGGGGTGTGCATATGGACCCCAGCCATGCAGAGAGGGAGAGCTCTGATGTCCTGTGTGGGTGGGCAGAGACCCTCCGTGTTTGCATGCACACACACACATTTATGGGGGGCTTGTAGGTGCAGCTGTGGCTACACAGGCAGTGGAGAAACACACACACTGTGCACAGAGCTGAGGGCTTGCACATACATTTAGTTTTTATATTTATATGTGCACAGATAGATGGAACTCTCTGTGTATATATGTATGTGGATAGATAGATATAGGTATTGGCAAAAATGTTCTGCACAGAGTACACAAAGAGCTATAAAGAGATAGATATACATAGCTATAGCTGTATCTCAGATAGCTATATATCATATCTATATCTATCATATATGTATCTATATATAGCTATAGCTATACCTAAATCACAAATATCTGTTTCCACATATATATATATATATAGCATATGTTTATAGAAAGATGAGTATGTAGTTATGAAGTTGGGTATGGGTATAGATATATCTATGCATATATCTGCATATACACATTTATGTTCGTATCTGTAATTTTCATATGTGTGCATATATCCATACAAACGTGGATGCTGCTACAGCAATATATTTACATGGATATGTACACATCTTTAAATTACATATATGGATCTATACATCGAGCTATGTATGCCTGTATATACACAAGTACACGTGTCTACATGGGTGTGTACATTTTATATGTAATTTTCAGAGGCCCGTGTACATATCTATATACATATCTATATACATACATATATACCTACCTGTGTGTGTGGGTGTGTGTGTACACACCCGTAATGAGTGGGTGTGGGTGTGTGTATAGAGGCCTCTGTATTTCAGTAGCTTTGTGCAGGTACATCTGAAGGTGCCTGTGGGCCGTGTTCACCTCCACAGCTGCCGCGTGCAAACGTACATGTCTGTCCCTGCGTGTCTCCACGTGTGTCTGTCCACACACACGCTCACACACTTGCCCACACACACTCCCCCGGCCCTGCCCCTCCCTGCAGCAGAGCCCAGCCCCACGCTCAAGTGGGGCACCCTGGGCTTCTCCCACAGGGAACCCCTTCCCTGTCGCCACCCCATCCTGCCCCCCACCCCGGGAACCGCAGCCCCGCGATGCTGCTGTCGGGCTGGTGGTGCCGGCGGCGCAGGGCAGAGGCGAGGGCTGGGGAACAGCTTCGTGTTGTCAGCCTCGTGGGCATACAGCACCCGCGTGCACCCCGCGCCCGCCACCTCCGGCAATGCAGGGGCGGGAGCCGCGCATGCAACGGGCCCCGCGGCGGCTCCGGCTGCAGGCAGGGCGGCCGGGCGGCTGGGGCTTGTGTCCCGTGTGCCCCACCGGCCATCCCTGTGCCCCAGAGCCAGGCCGAGCAGCCGTGGCGCCATGTCCGGGGCAGCGCGGGCAGGAGCGCTGGCTCTCGGCGCTCGTGGTGCAAACCACACTCTCCACTTTGCTCCAACAAAGCATAAGCAAGCGAACGGGCGGCGAGGGCTGCGCGGCAGGCGGCACGCTCGGGCGCACTTAGGATCTGTAGTCCTTCTTGCTGTAGGGTTTGTTGCCCAGGATGCTATCGATCTCGTGGACGATGGAAGACGACAGCTTTGGAAGGACCTGCCGGGATAGCGGAGTTGGGATTGTGACTGTGGTGTGCGTGGGAGGACGCAGCCGGCGGTGGGACGCAGCCGTGCCGTGCTCACCGCCTCCACCCCGCTGTGTTTGTGCCACAAACCCCAGATTGCCAGCTGGCTGACCCAGTTAGGGAGAGCCTGGGTCGGGCCCAACCCTGCCCCCTCAGTCCAGCAAAGCCTCGTCTCTGCCGCTTGCCTTTGTGACAAGCAAAACCTGTCACGGAGCCACATTCACGACCCTCTTTCCCCGCCCAGCGCGGTGCAGCAGCGAGCGCTCAGGGCACACGTCACTCCCGCCGGGAGCACTGACCTGTATTGCTCCAATATTCTCCATCAGCTGGTCAGCATTGGAGGCTCCCAGTAAGACTGAGCTGACACCCTCGTTGCGCAGGCACCAGGCTGGAGAGGAGGAAGAGCAGAGCCTGAGCATGGCCTGGTTGCCCTAATGTCACCCCCAGCAACCCCCTGTCCCCCACCCTCTTACCGATGGCGAGCTGGGGCAGGGTGCAGCCCAGGCGCTCGGCAATGGCCTGCAGCTCCTTCAGCTTCGCCTGCTGCCGCCGGCCCTCCTCACTCAGGATCTTGTCCTTCAGCCACTGGTATCCCTGGGGAAACGGGAAGGAGTGTCATGGGGGGATTCGGGTGTACTGGCACCTTGTGCAGGCAGGGCATCCCCAAACACCCTGGGCTGCTTTGTGAGGCCCATGGCCCTGCTCCCCCAGCTCTGTCCATCCCAGTGTGGCCCCTGGCCCTAGTGTGGCTCACCTTCAGCGAGGCACGCGAGTAGGGGGGGATCCCCCCATCGTACTTCCCCGAGACGATGCCACAGGCCAGTGGGGACCAGGTCATGGCTCCGACGCCTGGGAACAGAGCAGAATGGGGAGTGATGCTGCTGCTGCCCCCAGTTCCCTCAGGGACCACAGCACCTGGTCTCTGCAGCGTGGGGCATGGGGAGCATTGTGCTTTGCGGGCTGGGGAGGGATCTCCACTAACATACCTATCTTGTGGAAGAGCTCAGGCAGCTGCACCTCCACCTTTTCCCGCTGGAACATGTGGTACTCGGCCTGCTCACAGATCGGCGGGATCAGGTTGAACTGCCGGGCCACCGAGTATGCCTCCTGCAGAAGAGATGGGACCCTCAGTGCCATGCCACTCCCCCTGCTGAGCCCCCCAGCTGAGCCCTGAGCAGCTGCCCCAAGAACCGATTAAGTCTCAAGCACATCTGCACACACACTTGGCTCCCAAAAGCTGCTGTCTAATTAAATCAGCATCAGCAGCACCACTGGGGCTGCTCCGCTGCAGCTGCCCGGTCCCCTGGGCCCCTACCATGATCTCCATGGAGCTCCAGCGCGAGGTCCCCCAGTACATGGCCATCCCCTGGTTGATGACGTGGGTCATGGCTCGCACCGTCTCTGCCGGGAGGAAAGGAGAGAGTGGCCGGGAGGGGTTAGCAGGGGCTGCACCAGCAGAAGGGAGTTTGCACCGCACTGATGGCTGGTGAGCATCCCGCTCCCGCAGTGCTGTGGCGGGAGCTGGGTTGTGTCCAGAGGAGCAGGATGGGAACAGAGGGAGCAGCCACTCAGGATGTGCCGGGGACCACAGCCAACCAGACATGCTGGCGGTGCCGGGGCTCTCCTGGAATGGAGAGCAGCCCGAGGGTCCTGGCAGTGGCCCCACACCCTGTGGGGTTACCAGCACCGGCACCGCTGCAAAGGAAGGGACTGATGCATCGCCCGTGCACGGAGACCCAGGAGGGAAGCCTGGACCCCGTGCAAGGGGCTTGGGAGTTTTAGGGAGAGCCAGCCCTGAGCCATGCGGGCTGGGACCAAGCCAAGACGCACTCCTGAAGCCAAAGGTGGGCAGCGGGGAGAGCGAGGGGCACGGGGCTTGCCCAGCCGGCACTGGGGCACACACCCCAGCATGCTCACAGCCGCCCCAGCAAGGAGAGAGCCTGCCGCAGACCCTGGCATGGGCCAAGGGAGTCCCACGGCAGGACCTTGGAGGGGCAGGACCCTCTCTGCTTTTTTCCTTTTAACTGCAGGACAGTCTGAAGGAAGGGCCACGGGGTGTTTGTGTTCTGCTGCCACTGCCTCTGCATCTCATGGCGGGGTTTGCTCGAGGGGGGATCAGGGATGGGGGTCACAGAGGAGTGAGGGCTCTGCCCCAGGAAACGCCGCTGGGACAGGCAGCGGCTGGCGGGCAGAGTGCGGGCAGGGAGTACCTTCTACGATGAAAGTCCTGGACTTGGAGGAACTAAATGGGTCCCCTGGTGATAAAAGAGAGATTTAGAGAGAGTGGAGTCACCGCTGCTGGGATGGGAGCAGCGACCTGCCACCGTGCCCCCAACCCGCCCCACCATGGCCTGAGGGGGTCCTGGCGCCGGGCGGGGGGCAGCAGAGGCATGATCATGGCACGGACTGACCGTGGTGGTGGAGGAGTGGATTCTGCTCAGGAGGGAAAATGCCCTTGAAACACAAGCCTGGCGCAAACCAACCGCGACAGCGACGAAAGGCGGCAGGAAGGACTGTGGAACCGTGGCACACACCCACCTTCCATCGGCGTGTTGGGGTCGGGCCGGTTGGCGAACACCACGTCCACGTACTCCAGTTGCAGCCGCTCCAGCGACGCCTTCAGACCTGCCACATGGACAGGGCTGTCAGGTGCACTGTGCCCTGTGCTGCCAGCAGTGAGGTGGCTGCCGAGGCACAGCCTGGCACCGGGGCCAGCAGTGCCCACTGAGCAGCCCCACCCCTACCTTTCCCTACCTTCTATGATGTGTTTTCGGGACAGGCCCCTCTCTGTCTCAGCCCTGAAAAAAGAAAGGTGAATGAGAGCCTGGCCCGTGCCAGCCGATCTGTCGCGGGGTGGGTGATACCTACTTTCCTCCCCAGAAGATTTTGGTAGTGATGACCAGGCTGGACCGTCTGCAGGGAGAAAGATAGAGTCACTGGTGGTGCCACTTGCGCACCCTGCACGCTCCCTGCCCTCATGCATTCCTGCCCAGGGCTGCTCTGCCAGCTTTCCCCAGGCCACCAGGTCTGTGGTGACGGCTTTGCGGAACAGGGATGATGTCCAGCTTACCTCCACCCTTTTTTCTTGATGATGTTTCCCAGCACCACCTCGGCCCTGCAAGGGAAGAGGACGTCAGCTGCCGTTGCCCCAGTTGCTGTGGCCAAGGGGACCAGTGACAGTTGGCAGGGACAGCTCCAGTCCCTGGCAGACTAAGAGGTAAAGGTGGTGGCCATGGGGACACCATCTGCCTGCCCCTTGGCTTCAGCATCCAGAGCAGAGCTGACCCCTGATGTGCAAGCTCTCTAATTTTAAGCAAGTGCATGGACAAACAGTGATGCCCCAGGCCAGTGTGCCCTGGGCACAGCCACTGCTCACTGTGCTGGTAGGGTGCATGGCTGCGCCTGCATGGCACAGGCCACCAAGGAAGCATGGGGCTGCCAGAACCATGACCCCCCCCTTTGATCAAGCACTCACAGCCCTGTCCTGGAAGCCACTTTGCAGCCAGCAAACCCACAAGATTCCCAGTGTTACCATGGTTTGGAGGTGCAGGGGGCTGGGTCGTGGGGTGCCACTGCCAAAGCAGGGTACCTACTTGCCAGCAGCGTAGACTTCTGCTGTGTCAAAGAGATTAATGCCGTTGTCATAAGCTAAAGTCATCAGCTGCTCCGCCATCTGCGAGGAAAGAGCAGGGTCAGCGAAGGGGGTGGCTGAGAGCCGGGGCACAGCCGCGTGTGCGGAGCTCCAGCATGCCACGTGCACCCAGACCACAGCCGCAGCTGTGCCAGCCCCATCCCCTCCCCACTCACCAGGGAAAGCCTGGGGAGGGACAGGAAGACACGGTACAGCCTTACCTCATCTGTGATCTGCCCTCCGAAAGTCACCCATGTCCCTGCAGGGGAGAGAGGGTGCGCGCACGGTGAATGCGGTGAGCGCCGAGCGCCGCCGCGCTGAGCCCCCGGCCACCCACCCCGGCTCTCTCAGCACAGCCCCAGCACGTGGTGGCCACAGCTGGCTGGGCCGCGTGCATCGCGGTGCTCCCAGCGCGGCCCAGTCGCTTCCTATCGCATCAGAAAGAGAGAAAATAATTTGACAATTTCTGGGCTGTGACTCAAAACGGCCGCAGGGTCGAGGGAAACCCTTTCCTTCCCTGCGCAAACATCACTGGGGCAGGCGAGCGCCGCCCTCGCCGGGGAGCTCCGGCACTTGCTGCAGGACTGGGGGGATGCTGAGGGGCTGCGGCAAACCCTGGCACTTACCCAGGCCCAGGCAGGACACACGCAGTCCAGACTTTCCAAGGTTCCTGGAAGACAGAGAGTATCAGGAAAGGAGCCAGAAAGCCCCCAAACACCCTCTCATGCACCCCGTGTGCCACTGAATGCACTGGGCATGGGGGCTGGGAGGTGTGGTGGTGGTCTCTGCTCCCCATCCCATCCCCACCCGAGACAGTCCCACAGTGAAGGTCTCCTTGCAACCAATTAAAGAGCCATCCCAGGCCAGGCATCCCACAGCTCACTGGTGGCAATGCCAGCACTGGCACAGTGGTGCCATGCCTGGCAGGGTTATCGGGGGGGCAGCGGGCAGTGACCCTGTTAAAGCAGTTCCCTGTGATAACACCCTGGGGTGTCTGGCTGCCCTGAGAGTGCTGCTGGCACAGGGGGGTGAGACGGGAAGCAGGGGGAGCTAGCATGTGGTGGATCAGGACTGAAGCATCCCACACATGGTATGAATTGCGCCTGTTCTCTGCATCACAGCACAGGGAAGTACACGACTTGCATAGGGCAAGGGTGCTTGGGAGTGGAGCAACATCCTGGAGAAATGGAGCACCCCAGAAAATCTGACCAGCACATGGAACTGGAGAACAGCTTTCGGAAAGGGGGCCGGGCTGGCAGACGCCTTCGCCACAGTGATGGAGAGCCAGTTACTTGTTAAAAATGACAAAGGCTCGAGAAATGAGCGTTAAAATAAATAAAGTGTAGGTGAGCCGCGGCAGCTCGCCCGCGCGGGTGTCGCATAGCAACCGGAGGCACTGCCACCGCCGGCACCGCCGACACGGGCACCGGGAGCCGGGCAGGGAGCAGCCACGGCCCGGCCGTGGTGGCAGGGAATCACTGGCTGTGCCAAGCTGGGGCATTGTCCTTCCATGCTGCTGCCTTATTGCCCAGCATCTGGAGGCATGGGGGCTCCCCCAGCCCTGTGGCGTTTTTAGAGCGTTGTGTGGCAGGAAGAAGCCATGGCCCTGGGGTAGCAGTGGCTCAAGCCCCTGGTGATGGGGATTACCGTGGGGAGTGGACAGCATTGGACCCATCCTGGCCATTCCAGGGGCATCCCAGGGTCCTCCTGGGCAAGCGGCTATCACTGCTCCCAGCTTTCCAGCTCAAAAGTGTGCTGACCAGCTGCCCAATGGAGATACTGGCAGAACTTGGGAAGGCCAGGAATCCCCCTGCACTGTGCCACAGCCTTCCTATCCCGTCCCTTCACCTGGAGCAACCCCCTGCATCACTGTCCCTCCAGTAGCCACCAGCGAGGACCCCCGAGCTGATCACCCACTGCCTGGGAGAGGGTGGTCCCTCTGTGCTTCTCCTCTGGATGGGGACGTGACGGTGGGGCAGGAGCGCTGAGCCCTGAGGATGCCACTGCATGCTGCCCCAGCACTGCTGCAACCAGCGCAAAGGTTTGGTGTTCGAGAGCTGGACGGAGCAACCCCAGCGCCCTCCCCAGCGCCCAGGTGAGGGACTCAGCTCATCTGGATGATGCTGGTAGGTAACAGCCGGGCTCACCCCAGCACTCTGACGCGCTTTGTGCCTAAAGCCGGCACATCTGGGCTGCAGTGGGGGCACGTGGCTGCTGGCAGCTGGACTGTAGCGTGCAGACTCATCTTGGGGGGGGTCTGCCCTGTGCTGGGGTGCATTCTCACCCGGGGGAAGCCCCAGCCCCACCTGGGGTGCACACTAAGATTCCGAAAGGGAAGCCCTGAGCGCTCTGCCCCAGAGCCAGGGACGAGGAGTGCATCAGTCCCTTGGGTGCTGGATGGGGGGCCAGCACCCCACATGCACACACCACCCTTCATTTCTAGGCCCACCGTGGGCAGCCAGACCCGAATCCCACCTTAGGGTTCCACGCTCACTTTACAGGGTAATAAGTCTCTGGCAGCACCATAAGGATTAACGCTGCCGTGACTTCCAAACCCACCCGGCTCGGCAGGCGCTGGAGATGCTGCTAATCCTATCCTGAATTTTAGGGTCCCTTCTTCCCCCCCATCCTGAAGGTTTCACGCGCGGCTGGATCAAGGCTGCCCCGAAGGGACAGGAGCAAACCGCGAGGAAGCACACGGAGGCGCACGGTCAGCACTTTTAGCGCCGAGAAACGACAGAGCCGGTCGCGAGTCGGGAAATAGGGGAGTGCGGCCCCCCAAACCCCCCACGGCGCCCCGATCCCGGTGAGAAACAGGGAAAGCCCCAGCAGCGCCCGTTTCCTACCGGTATTTCATCCCCGGGTGCTTGACGCTGGACTCGCTGGAGGAGGGGGCGTTCTGCACCGAGAGCTGCCCCAGGCTGCGGGCCACCATGGCCACGGCGCGGAACTTGCCGCGGGTGCCGAGGCTGGGGCTGCCGGCATTCTGTCGGTTCAGCCGGTCCTCCGCGCTCCGGCTCTTGATGCTGTGCTCGGAGCACACAAAGGAGACCTGCATGCTGCTCCGCCGGGCAGCAGCGCCAGCTGCCTAAATTTAGCCGGCGCCCCGGGCGAGGCGGGAGCTCCTCCCGCGCGCCGCCAACGTGACGGCGGGGGGCTGCGGGGCGGCGGGCGCGGAGCTCCCGGCAGCCCTCCTGCCCTCAGTATTTGATGAGCTCAGGAAGACGAGCGAGCGGCACGCGGGCAGGTGGGGGCAGGAAGGACAGCGCCGTTGCCGAGGTCTCCCGAGGAGCCTCGGCGGGGCAGGACCCCGCTGTGCCCTGCTGGGCATCCCCCGCGGGCGCGGCTGCTGGCCCAGCCCCTTTTCTGGGGCACACTGGCGGCTGAGGCCACGCACTGAAGGGGTCTTTCCTTGCCGCCCTCCGGCCACGCACGGCAGCACAGCATCCCCTCGCACAGGTCTGAAACCAAACCCTCTGGCAGCGCTGCGTGTACACTGCCAACCCCACGGCTGGGCAAGGGTGCGGGCTGCAGGCTCTCCCGCAGCAGAGCCCAGCTCTGTGCCAAAGTCAGACTGGTTGTCCCCCTTGGGGTCACGGCCCCAACAGCATATCCCCCAAATTTTGCCCAGTGCAAGCAAAGTGGAGCAAGGTGAACCCCAGCCCAGCATCTTCTCCCAAAGCAGGGACACAAGTCACTGAGCTACAGCACTGTCCTGCAGCCGGGGCCATGTGCCAGCTGCCTGCACCCACCTTGCCCCTCAGGACAGAGCAAGATGGGGGAACGGGGCTTCTGGGAAATTACGCACATTCGCCCCCAACCTAATGAGAAATCTTGTAATCTCCTCCGCTTGCCTCTGCCGCAAAGCTCCTTAGCTGGTAATCCTACCAGCACCGGCGCCAGCACCGGCTCCGGCGTGGGGGGGAGACCCGACAGCAGTCAGCAGCCTCCTGAAGAGGAGAAATCCCATAGATTTTTGAGGGCAGTGAGGACATGGGCAAAGGAGGAGCATCTCTGGGGGTGCCTGTGCCAGCAGCTCCCATCAATAAATAACGTCCCCATGAATATTTGATGGACTCTTGCCACTGTGTAAATGTTACCGCGGTCACTGTCAGCGGAGGGGAACCTGACCTGAGGTGCAGCATGGCTCGGCACAGTGCGGCACGGCAGCTGCCAGCTCCGGGGCGCTTCACTGCAGCGGGGCATGAGGGGCACCCCTGCACAGGGGGAACAGCCATTGTCCCCAGCCCTGGTGCCCCTCACCAATCCTGAGCTGGGTTACTGGCGGTGCTGGGCCCTGAACCCCATCACCTGACCCGTGATACCAGGGGAGAGTGGGGAGGGGCGTACTGGACAGAGCAGCCCCGTTGCTCCAAGGGGCTGTGGCTGGCTCTGCGGCCTCCCAAAGAAGGGCAAATAAGGACAAATTCCCAAAGAAGGACAAATACCAGCTGAAATCCTGATACACCTTGCACTGGGACCCACATGCAAAATTCATGGCGCACACACTACACGACGCACAGCTGTCAGTCAGGGGGAGACGCACACCCGGCCGGTGGAGATGCACACCCCTCAGATTGCAGACGTACACCCCTCAGATAGAGATGTACACCTGTGAAGCAGACAGCCCTTCAGTGGCTGCTTGCTCCAGCTGTCTTGTCTTTAAAGCAGAGGTGTTTGCAGATGCAACCACCCAAACAGCAAATGGGAATGTCAGGTGAGAAGCTCAAAGATCACAAAACAGGTGAGTGCTAACAGCACTGACTGGCTGCCACCTGGGTAACACATGCAGCACCAGATCACCCACTGTGCCAAGAGCATCGACTCCTCCCAGCCTTGGCGAGGCACAGGGAAGCTGAGGTGAGCACAGGTGAGAGCCATTCTCCCAGTGAGGTGTCAAACCATCACCACACAGCATCCCCTGCACCGTCTCTGCACCTTGGCCCTTGCTGCCCTCGCGGCGCTGCCTTACCTATACTTCATGCCGGTGGCATGGGCAGTGCTGTCAGCCAGGGAGAGCCCGTGCATCCGCAGGAACTCCTCCAGTGTCTTCGCCCGCGCTGCCGCCCGCACGTCCCGCAGCCGCCGCAGTTCCAGCCCATCGGCTGCCCGGGGGGCCGGGGGCAGCCCCCACTCAGGAGTGGGCCGGCTGGCCACGCTGCGCAGGCTCTCACTGTAGGTCATGGAGAGCATCCCGCCACCCAAGCACGGGCTCTGCTGGCCAGCCACACCACAAACCACTCCGTGGTGCTACAGAGAGAGCTGGGAAAGCACAACATGGGCTCCGCTGCCACTCAGGGCAGAGTTCTGCCCATACTGCCTTGCTGGAGTGGTGGCACCTGCCCTTGCCAGGACATGCAGCACGGGGAGGGGACAGTGGGCACCCTGGCAAAGCCAGTCTCATCAGCAGAGCAAAGCCTTGACATGGGAGCTGAAGCACAAAGGGAGAAGGAGCGGGACAGAAATGAGGCACAGCCCATGGCTGAGGAGGCAGCAGTGCCTACCACAGCTGCCCCGAACCATGTTGCAGCAGCATGGCCCATGCCCTATCTGTGCTGGCCCCCAGCTTGCAGTGGTTTGTACCCCTGCGAGGGATGTGAGGAGCTGGCCAAGATGTGGCAAGTGGTGGCAAAAGTGCTGCTGGTGACAATCTGGCACTGTGTACCAGTGGGCTGGAGAAGTCAGGATGGGAAAGTCCCTGCGGGGCTCCCCAGGAAGGGTGGGCATCTGCAGAGGGGCTGTGGGCACCAGGTGCTCGCCATGCCTGCATCACACTGCCACAACACGCACCGCCAGCCAGCTCCTTCCCCTCCACCACGGCAGCGACCTCCCAGCTGGTGCAGCTGCTGAAAATAGCCTGCTGCAGGGTGGGCATCTCACCCACCAGAGTCCTCACTGCCTGTACGGCTGGGACCTCACCAGCAGGGGCACTGACACCAATTTCTGTGCCACTCTCCGCAGAGTCTGAAAGGAGGGGGGACTAGGGCCAAGACCGCGGTATGGGTACCGGAGCAGCCACTGGGAATGCACTGGCATCAGGCTCCAGCCAGGCTCCTACCCGTGGTTTTTTCTTTCCCTGGGAAGCTCACATTGATGGCAGCAGGAACCAAAGATAAAGTGCTCCCTGCTGCTGTCACCTCCGAAGGCTCCAAACATGGAGGATACAGAGCAGCAGCTGCCTGGGCTGACCAAATCCTGGGGGTCTCCTGTGACACCCAGTGCTGCCAGAGAGCACTCTGTGCTCCTGCTCTGCAGCAAGGCCTTGGGAATGCAGGGAGACATGGAAAAGGGGTATTTCCCTGAGCTGTGGCAAAGCCAAACCAAACCCTGTTTACTAGCCTCTTCCTGCCACACCTCAAAGTTGGAGACAAAGCTGGCACTGCTGGCACCAGCCCTTCTCCATGGCTGGTAGTTTTAAGTAGGGCAGTACCAGTGGCTCCTGCTGGGTGTGGGCACCTGGTGGGATCCCCTTGATCTCAGTGGGATCCCTTGGCCTGGTGGGATCCCCTTGCCTGACAGTGGCAAGGAGAAGCCTGAGATGATTGCACCACTGCTCTACAGCAGCAAAATGGATGCAGCAAGCGGAGCCAGGGGGTTGGGCAGGGCTGCTCTGAGGAACGGGGAAGGAATCCACCGGCTGCCCCATCTCGACACCTCCCTGATTTTCAGCAGAGCAAGGGGACAGAATGGCAGAGGGAGTGTGGAGGTGGCAGGAGCGTTCACAGCCGATCATTGGCAGAAATCCCGGTGCTCCCGGGCCGAGCGGCAGTGGGGCTGCAGGAGCTGCCGAGGACAAGCCGCGCCCTGCCCAAGCGGGAGAGGCTGTTTGGTAGGGAAGGAGCAGGGACGAGGACAGGGAACAGACCCTGCAGGACAATGGCACTGTTAGCAGCATCGGGGGCACAACAAGTGGGTGACGGGTAAGGCAGCTGCCCAGAGAGGCGTCTGGCCAGCCTGGCTTGCCAAACTGGGAACTTGTTGGCAGCCACCAGCCTGCCTAAAGCCAGAAAGATCCCAAACCCCAAAAGAAAACGACTCTAAGCCACCAAATCCCAAGTAGCCCTGCATGGAAAATCTTCCCTGCTGCCTGCAGCGGCTGCCCCGTGGCAGTGCCCATTCCCGCATGCCGCCTGCTCTGCCCATCCCCACTCACCGCCCGCGCCGTCAGCCCCGACTCACCGCGCCAGGGAAGCTGCTCAGCAGCAGCGCAGCTCTGGGTGGCGAGGCTGCCCCGGGGCAGATATAAGAGCCGTGGCCGTCGCGTTGTTTTGCATTAGGGGAGTGTCGACGCTTGGCGTCCAAAGCACTTGGCGGCCACGCTGGGCCCCCAGTGCATGGCTTCTCACCGCGCTCCATTAGCCCTATTAGGGGATTTTCTTCCTTGCATAGGGGAGCTAAATTATTCATGGCGCCTTGCTAAAAGCCTCGAACAGTGCTGCTGCAACACTGGCACCGCCGCCCCTGCCCGCAGCCACCCCTCACCCTGCGGTGACAGGTTCTGCACCACCGGCACATGGGGCAGTGGGGTCAGCTGGACACTGGGGCCATCAGGGAGCAGAGACGGTCCCTGTGGCAGACACACCCCTCCTGTTGTCCCCACGGCAGCAGGGCCAGAGTTGGGCAGTGGCAGGACTCAAAGGCGGCCTCCTCCGGGCAGGAGCCCTGAGATGGAACTGGGTGGTGGACACTGGCAGAGGCTCCCTGAAGGCAGCCTATGGACAAGTTGGGTCCTGCCAGGCAGCCTCGGGAGCCTTCTGCACCAGACATGCCCAGTGGTTCAGGCCAGTTTGGCAGCCAAAACCTGCCTGTGGCTGGGGCTCGGCAGTGCTGGTGGCAGTGCTGGGACAGGATCACTCACTCACAGTGTCACTGAGCCATCCCGGTGCCTGCCAGCCTCACCTCCTCCTGCCATGTGCGGGATGGAGCTGGGGGCCACGGCTCCCTCAGGGGGCAGCCCCCTGCCCATGGTGGCAGGGCTGGACCCAGTCACACACTACCAAGGCTGTTGAGGCTCCAGGAGCACTGGAGCGGCTGCTGGCACAGTGCATGGGCAAAGAGCTGCCCTCACTTCAGATGGTAAAAGGGTGGTGGGGGCAAGTGTTGCCTCCTGAACCACTTAATGACGCTGGTCCTAATGGCAGGAGCAGCAAAGCAGCTGGCTGGGTTCCTGGAGTTGCCCTTGGGAAAAGACAGTGGGCTCCTCCAGGCACAGCATCGGCGCAGGATGCCCCCCACCCCCCTCCCCACTCATTCTCCACCTACACTCTGTTGCTTGGGCAGCCCACGAGGATGGTGCCCTCCACTGAGCCGCACTGTGGGGTCCCCACGCCACGATCCCAAACCCACGAGCAGGTGATAAAGTGGTGCCACACCGGTGATGCCCATCCCACACAGAGGGACCCCAGCATGGCGGGCAGGGCAGCGCTGTGCCAGCAGCACCCAGGCATGGCCAGGGGCTGTGGCCACCTGTAGATTTTGGGGAGGGGGAAGGGCTGGGTTACCTGTAGAACTGGAGCTGGCGCTTGGGGCTCCCGTATCTCGCGCTTCCGACAGCAAAGGGGAGAGAGAAGAAAGATGCCACAAACCCCATTAGAAAGAAAGAGCAGGACTGAGCAGCAGAGCCAATGGCCATGGGAAGGGTCAGTGACACCCACCCATGTCACATCACGGCAGGCACAGTGTAGTGGGCACTGGCACAACCCCAGAAGTGCCTACTATGCCCATAACTGGCACCAGCACCCCAAAACGCTGCTGCTGCCACCATGTGGGGTTTTTGTCTTGGAAGTCTTTGCACAAAGAGTGCTGGGGTGGTTTTGGAGCGTCAGGGCAATTTCAGGGAGTATGGTGGTTCTGGGATGCCACAGGCCTGTGTTTGAAGCCCCACAGAGCCCCACCACCCCATCCCACACCCTTACCTGTAAATCATCCCTGGGGAGCCTGTCTGCCGCAGCGAGAGTCGCGCTGGGGAGTCAGTGGTGGATTCGGGATACATGGAGCCACCCTGGGCTCCCCGGAGCCACTCGCTGCCTCACCCCTGGCACAGGGGAAGAGAAAAAAGGAAGAAATGAATTTTTTTGGGGCACGCGCATGAGGTACTTCCTGTTGCAGAAGCTCGTGAGCCAGAAGGGCATGTGGCATGGGCAGCGGTGCGGGCACAGAAGCCCTGCCAGCCCCAGACCCCAGAGTTCATACCCTGACCTGCTGCTGATCCCCAAACCATCTCACGCAAGCCCTCCGCCCCTGACTTCTCAGCTTGGCTGTTCTCCCCAAACTTCTGGGGGTCCTGAGATCTCAGGAAATGGTGGGGAAATGCAGGCCTGAAAAACGAAACATTCTGAAAACCCTGAAGGCACCCCCAAGGGTCCTTTGCAAGAAGAGGAAAGCAGCCCATAAATGACTGTGTGCACAAGGATGCAGGAACTCTGGGGGAAAGGGAGGCCTCACCCCCAGGCACCCCCAACCCTTCCTGTCCCTGTCCCCATGCCAGGGGCATCCAGTATGACTCCCTGGGAGCTGTGCTCCTGCTCCCGCAACACTGTCAGCAGTTTCCAGTATCACAGAAAATGATGACACTTCCCTACAGAACTGGGGCTGGGATTTAAATTTATCCTATCTTTCTTTAGGCTGGTGAGATGCCATCTTTACGCTACAGGTCACCAGCTGCTCTTTCACCCAGATGGAGTCTGAGAGATCTTCAGGCTCCTTGCTGGCTGCCCTGGGCTCAGCGGGAGCACGGCCTTACACAGTGTGCTCATGTCCTGGCACGCATCCCGCCTGCGTCCTGGCACAGCATGCCTGCATCCTGCATTCCTCCCGCATCCTGGCACAGCATGCCTGCATCCTGCATCCCTCCTGCATCCTGGCACAGCATGCCTGCATCCCGCAACCCAGCACAGTGTGCTTACATATCACATCCTGCCTGCATCCCAGCAGTGAATGCCTGCATCCTGCATCCACAGCCTGCATCCCTCCTGCATCCCAGCATAGTGTGCCAGCATCCTACATCCCTCCTGCATCCTGCATCCCTCCGGCATCCCAGCACGGCGTGCCTGCATCCCGGCGCAGCCCCTGCAGCCCACGTAGCCCAATGGCAGCGGCTGCGGCAGCCGAGCCCGTCCCCGAGGAGCCGCCCGCCCGCCCACCGCAGCTCCCGGCCCCGCTGCGGCCCCGGCACAGATCCCCATCGCTCTTTCCCGAGCGCCACAGGAGCCAGTCTCTCTTGGCTGCAGCCGCGCCGGGGCCAGAGCGCAAGCAGGCTCAGTTAAGCCGGGTTTATTTTTGAGAGGTCAGGAGGGAGCTGCACTCTCCCCGCCCTGCAGCACTGCCATGCGCCTGGAGCAGACCCTGCCAAACCCCACAGCCAGGACCCTACCGAGCCCCCCGAGCCCTTGTGATCCATCCCCCAGCTTCTCCTGGGGGCTGCTCCTGTTGGCTCTGCAGCTCCCACGGCCTCGCCTGGCAGTGCCAGCCACCGGCTAGGCACCATCCTGATTGCTCATGCTTGCCCAGAATCACTTCGTTAGTGGTGGCATAACGAAGCTGAGGGCAGCTGGGGGATGCCTGCAGGGGGGACAGCTGGCCCCCCATGCCTCAGTGCAGCCATGCAGCTCCTTGCTTGCCTGCCACAGTCCTGGACTCCTGAATGGCTCAGGATAGGCTGCTTCTGCATCCCAGGGAGGGCTGTGGTGCCAGGAGCTCAGCTCTCTCTATTTTCAACAGGACCTGGTGCCCCTTCCCCATTGCCTCCCAAGCAATGCTGCAGGGACTAAGTGCAGTGGCCAGCAAGTCTCCGGCAGTGCTGGAGGGACTTTGCTGGGAAGCATGGCTGGACCACAGGCACACAGTTCAGAGCTCTGCAGCCTGAGGAGCTCGAGCATTCTGGTCTCAGGGGCCTATACACCCCTCTGAGCTCTCCAAGCCAAAGACACTGCCAAAAGCCCAGTCCAGTCCATGCTGGCATTTTGGTGCTTCCCTGAGACAGCTCCTGCACCTCCAGGTTCCTCACAGCACAGCTCAGCTGCGAGCCCTCAACTGCAGTAGTTTTTGCGGGACAATAGCCCAGAAAGGAAGAAAAGTGTTTTCTTCCTCAGGATGCAACCAGGAGCCAGACGAAAAGTTCAGAAGCACTGATAGTTTGTGCTCCCATGGGGCTCCATCCCTGTCCCTGCTAGCACGATGGGGCACAAGAGCATGGACGCTGCGACACTGACGGTTTATGCCCGGGAAGCCTCAGGAGCCAAAGGTCTGCTGGGCTAGCCTGGGGGGGAATACAGATTGCAGTGTCCCAGACACACTGCTATCAGAGCAGGATGGGGTGAAACTGCACCCGGAATTAATGGGAATGTAAGGACGAGACCACTGCTTCTGATGAGCCTGATCCCCCAAGGGTGAGGCCCTGGGAGACCCTGCCCTGGGCACCCCAGCATCCTGCCCAGATGCTCAAGCAAGGGATGCAGGGAATGTGGCATGGAGCATCTCCCCACACCAGGTGCCCGTCCCCATATTTCTGACCCTTTTTCACCGTGTTTGCAGCAAATGCTCCCCTCCCGACGCCACGGGGAAGGTGACTTTAGCCCAATGACTCACGCTGCCCTGCTCTGTCGCCTCGGCACCTCCTGCCGTCACCCCTGCGCTCATGCCCCGCGCTGGTCCCGCGGCCCCCCCGGCTGCACGGGCGCCGCAGGGATCCGCAGAGCAGCAGCCCTGCCCCTTCGCTCGGCCCGGGAGCCTCTTCTGCGGCGCAGTGTCCCCCAGCCCGCCGGGCCCCTCCGACCGCGCTGCTGGGCTCCGGCGCCTTCACCGCCCCATCATCGCGACAACGCAGCAGGCGGGTGCTGGGGATTCAGTTGCGACACGTGAGGTCGCCCGTGACCGCCGAAGCGCCGACACCAGCGCTGCTCGGCTGCCGAGTCAATGACACAGCCCGAAAGCACATGCTGCTCGTCAGCCGGGGTTATTCTGGCTCTGCCGTCACGTACACCAGTGCCAAAGCACTGGGGTCCACCAGGATACCGCGTG